TAGATCCAACGGGATCTAGTATGTATAAATTGTGTATACCAAAGTCTTTAAAATTTTCATTTGGGAAATTTTTACATTGCATCCCACTTTTTGTGTGATATTTGATTACATGCCTATTTTTAAAAAACTTAAACTATGCACCATGTTTTTTGGTCCGATCAAGTGCAATTTTCTTTTTTATATTTGATCCATAAACCCCTGAAACTTTGTATTGCTACTCTACACCACCTAGGACCAATAATGTGGAGAATGTTGGAGGTATTGGTCCTACCAAGGCCTCTCTTTCCATTTTATTATTGACTTGCACCCCATGTTTACTCCCACTAAGGTATACCTATTTAGGTCTTCTATTTGTGGCCATTCATTGACTGTTAACTTACCTAATGCTTGCCCCCCTCTCTTTATGGTCCGCTGCATTCCTGTCTGTGTCTGCCCATGAGCATTTGTCTTCGCATCACTCGTGACTTGCCTTGATAATTGGCTTCCAGCCTATTATTTATTGAGCCCTCTTCTTCCTTGAGGAGTAGCCTGCGTGAGATATTCCAGAGAGAGCAGTGCCCTTCTTCTTCTCCATTTCCTTTGTGTGAGAGTGTGAGAGAGAATACCTTAGTGGTAGAGAAGAAGCTTGGTGAGGTGTTATGGTCTAGCCTAGAGTGGTGTGTGTGAGTATAGCAAAAGGGTTGGAGACCTGACCTGGAAGACGAATCGATCCTCAACAGTGGTATCAGAGCCTGGTTGCCGTCTGCCGCCGTCCACCGCCGACCGTCCGCCGCCATCCACCATCCGCCATCCGCCATTGATTGGAGCTCGCCGGAGGTCCCTGAAGCATTACCTGACCTGGTAGCTGCTGGAGCTAGTCAATCAGAGTCCGGAAAGCCGTTGCTCATGGATTGAGGTGCCAACGAAGTTCTGTGTTCGTTTTCCGTCAAGTTCACTGTTTGTCGTCACCAGGAAGTTCCGCAGTCGGCCATCTGTCCATTGGAGCCGCCGTCGGCTTGAAAGCTGTCACCAGAAGTCGCTGCTGTCCGCAAGGGAGTTGCTGTTCGTTTCGATTCTCGCTGACCGCTTCTCGTCCGTGAGGAAGGACGCAGAATCTGGAACATGGAGCTGAAGAAGCTGGACACGTGGTGTGCTATTCTATCTGTGCGCATAGGAAATTAAAGCAGGAGCTGTATTTGGATTTGAGCTGAACTTAGGCCGCATTTTGGCTGCACTTTGACTGGATTTGGACTGGACTAGGGGCTGGATATCTGGTCAGACCTAGACACTGTTGGTGCGTCAATCGGACGCAGGGATTTGACGCAGGAAGAAGGAACGTAGGTGGTGGGAGCTTGCTAGACTACTGCTGGGTTTTGGGCTGCTCACTTATTGGGCTAGAGTGGACTTGGATCTGGGTTGCTGCTTTGGCGCTGGGCTTGAGTGGGCCGCTGACTCGGGCTGCTGGAGTTGCTGGTCAACGGTCAGGCACTCGGTCAACGCCGGTCAAAGACAGTCAACCGCCAATCAACAGTCCCGAAAAATCCCAATTCTAAATTGGGTGGGTAAGGTCCAAACACTCTCCTAGTGTTTGGCTATTGTAAGTCTTCTTTATCCCAAATTTCTGTTTCTGTAATTCAAATTGTTAGAATTTGTTGTTGATTTAGTATTTGCTAGATTGTATTTATTTGTGCTATTGTTTAGCCCTATAAATATTAAGTTGTTTTTCTAGCTAAAGTTGCATTTTATAATTTCTTGTTTAGTTTTTCTGTGTGAAAATGTCTGCTTTTAATCAGTATGAAATGGTTCCATTTAATGGAAAAACTGATTTTAGCATATGGAAACAGAAAATAAAGTGCATATTAATTCAACAAAATCATAAAGGGCCATTAGTGAGACCTATTTGGCTTCCGATACGGAAGAGAAAAAAGCAGAAATGAATGAAAATGTTTGTTCTACAATTTACTTGAACTTATCTGATTGTGTGCTCAGAAAAGTAGGAATTTTAGAATCAGCCAAATCTGTGTGGAATAAACTTGAAGTGCTTTATAACGTAACCTCTTTGCCTAACCGGATGTTTTTACTTGAGAAGTTCTTCAAATTCAGACTAGATATGTCTAGGGATATTGAGGAAAATCTAGATGTCTTTACCAAACTTATTTCTGATATTAAGTTGTGTGGTGATAAGCATATAGATGATTATTCCCCTATTGCTCTTTTAACTGCTATTCTTGATTCCTTTGGTGATGTGAAATATTCTATTAAGTATGGTAGAGATAATGTGACTCTTGACATTGTGGTAAATGATCTTAAGAGCAAGGAATTAGATTTAAAACATATGGGTGAGGGTAGAAAATCCGAGGAAGTTATGCAGGTGAGGGGTAGAGAAAATAATAGTAGACGACATAGATCTAAGTCTAGGTCTAATTCGAGGCGTTGCTATTATTGTCATGAATCTGGTCATTTCATAAGAGACTGTCCTAAATCTAGGACAAATGAGCACAGTGAGCATGCTAATTTGACTACGTGTGTAGATGATTTAGGTGATGTTCTCATGATGAGTAATCTATGTGATTTTGACTACTTGAGTTCTGTGATATCTGATTCTTTGGGTAAATTTGATTGGGTGGTAGATTCTGGTTGTACTTTTCATATGTCCCATTTGAAAAATGTTTTTTCAAACTATAGAGAGATTGAGCATGGCTTTGTGTCTTTAGCAAATGAGAAGAAATGCAATGTGCTAGGAATAGGAGATGTATGCCTTAGGTTCTCTTCTGGTTATGTGCTTACTTTGAAGAATGTTAGACATGTTCCTGAGTTGTGTTGTAATTTGCTATCTTGTGCTTCTATTGAAAATGAGGGTTTTGAAGGGAAAGTGGGGAAAGAGAATCATTAAAGTGGTGAAAGGGTTGTTTAGTTGTTCTTAAAGTTGAGATGAAAAACAACTTGTATGTTTGTCATGCTGAACCCGTACTTGATTCTGTGAATTGTGTGCAACCCTGTGTGCTAGGAAAACAGTCTAGGGTTAGTTTTCCTGATCTGCCTAAGTGTACTGTTGTGCTTGATTGTATTCATGCTGATTTGTGTGGTCCTTATAGTGTTTCCACTCATGGTGGGAAAAATATTTTCTGACGTTGATTAACGATTTTTCAAAGAAAGTGTGGGTTTTGTTGATTGAGAATAAATCTGAGTTTTTGATAAGTTCAAAAATTGGAAAACCCTTGTTGAAAAACAAACCGGCAAGAAAATAATTATTTTAAGAACCACTGTCAGTTTTGATTGTGATAATCAGCTTGGTGATTTATGTGATACTTGGGGGTATTTCTATGCATAAATCTGTTCCCTCCACACCCCAACCGGATGGGGTTGCTGAGAGGATGGTTAGAACTTTGTTAGAGAGGGTGAGAGCTATATTAGCTTCATTTGGACTCTCTAATAAGTTCTGGGGGGAAGCTATTTGTCATGCTGTTGGTGTGGTTAATCTGTCCCCGTCCGTTCCCTTAGGAGAGAAATGCCCTGAATCTGTGTTCACGGGCAAACCACTTAACTTGCCAAATTTGAGAGTGTTTGGTTGTACTGCTTATGTGAATCGTGAGAATGATAAATCTGAACGTAGGACTAAGGAATATGTTTTCTTATGATATCATGAATGCATGAAAGGTTATAGGCTTTGGTGTAGGAGTGAAACTTGCTTCAATGTGTTGATGAGTAGAAATGTCATTTTTGTTGAAAATGAATTTCCTTGCCTGCTTGTTTCTCCTGATGTTGCTCCAAATGAGGTGGAGCATTTGCCTGTTGAAGTTCATTCTAATTTACTTGTTGAAACCAAACCCAAATTTGTGAATGGAAATGTTTTTCATGGTGAAAATAAAGAAAATAATATTTCTATTAAGGTGGAGCATGATATGAATGCTGTGTGCAATATGCTTGAGTTGCGTGATTGCCATGTTATTAGAGATAGAGACATTAGGGAGCACGAGAGAAATGATATGTGCAAAGTGTTTGACTATATTTCCTCTGAGTTTGCTTTAAATGTGCTTAATTCTCTTTTAATAAAAATCTTTGTGATAGTTGGTATGTTATTTTTTTTGTGTTTTGAAAATGTGATACCATGTGATTATGTGAGCTCTACCTTTGCTAGTTATAGAAATAATATTGTTTCTTTTATTTTCTATGTACTTGCTTTGTGTGGTTGTTGGATTAGTTGGAATCCCCAACTTCTCCCGGATGCTTGCTTGCGTGGTCTATTAACATGTGTTGTGCTTGTTAATAGTTCTGTGATGGTTTTGGTTCTGAACTCGAGGACCGATTGGTAGAATTCAGTCCATCGTGAAGTGGGTTTGCATGGTAAGCTTGGTCCGAAAGGGAACTTTGGTTCTCATCTATTACTTGTATGATCGCAATGATGTACTTGTAATGGTCCGGCGATGATGAGTCTCCTCACAACTTTGTATTGCTACTCTACACCACCTAGGACCAATAAGGTGGAGAATGTTGGAGGTATTGGTCCTACCAAGACCTCCCTTCCACTTATTATGTTAAGGCCTGCACCCTAAGTTTAATCCTACTCCTCTTTAGTCCCTTATCTCTATCCTATCTATTTACTCACTTATTGAACTGGCCTTTGGCCCCTTGTTTTCTATCCGTTGCTTTGTCTGGTGGGTGCCCCTCTGTTATTTTGTCTTCAACCCTTGTGACTGCTATAAGTCAGAGGGCGGCCCTTCTTTTTTGGGTGCATCAAATACATGGGTGTATGAGTGAACCTAGAGCTGGCCATCAGTCTTGGTCTTCTTCGTGAGGTACCAATAACCGAGAGTTGTGGGCTGATTTTCTTCTTCTTGTAGAGCTTCCTTGTGTGTGAGCTTGAGAGGTGAGAGAGGTTATACTTGGTGAGTGGTGGAGTGGCTAAACATCCTGAGTGGTGTGTGTGAGTTGTATTGGGTTGGAGACCTGAGCTAAAATACACACCCAACATTCTGGCTAGTTGCTAATTACCCCCACACAAACAAATGAATAATGTGTGTGGAAAATAACTAATAACTAGTACTGTAATACATGTAGAGTTGAATCGATTGTGTTCAGCAGTACATGTGTAGATGTTGTATCTTTATGTGCAAAAATGAGTCTCAACTCTCATGGGTTCTGATTTCAAAGAAGTGGAGAATGAGAGGTATAAGTGTCTTGACATCTAGGGAAAACACTCCCTTTAGTTTCATACTTGACATTTGAACATTTGGCTTTGACAGCTCCAGCCCGTTCCCTCATCAAATGCACATTTTGCAGCAGAATCCCTCGGCATGGAACCATCTCGCTGCACTCCAATTTTATTGCAACCTCTTTTGCACTCGTTCCTCTTATGTTTCTATATACCACATCGCTCACTTGCACCGCTTGTTCCTATCGAACACCAAGAATGAGAATCGTGTCACATATAGGAAATCAATTAGCCCGTCTGTATTGTATCAAATTGATTGTCCTATTTTCTATCTACTTTGAAAAAAATCTACTGCAAAAGCAATTAAAATACGCTTTAATGCTACGTACTCCGTATAATATACAATATTACTACATCATAAAATATCTCTTACTTTTTGTGAAATGAGACACTTATTTTAATACTAGAGTAATAGTTTAAACTAATACAGACAAATATGTATCAAGCATATTGTGACATTAGAGATGAAATGTGTAGGTACAAAACATATTTGACTCGGTGATAGTGACTCTATCAGACAAATAAATTAGGACCAATCCAATAAGGCTATGTAAAATCCCGAAAACAATGGTTTGGAGTAGCTAGTTCTTTATGAACATATTTCTTACACATACCTTTTCAACACATGGCAAATTGTCACCAATTTTGTCTCTTGGCTTATCGCAGTAGTATTGATCTATGATTATGGGATTTGTCACGTTCTGCATTACAACATTCTCGAACTTGATGTTCCTTGCAGATCCTTTCCCTCCCTTTACATACACAAAAAACAATATAAACTATTTAATTAATTCTGTACAATAATCGACATGCTAAAAAATCAGAACAGCCAAATGATACGGCCCGCATAATTATATTATTACTCACTCCATCTCAAAATTGATATCTCATGCTTTTCGGGTACAAAATTTAAGAAATTGGGATAAACTTTCCTACTTACCCTTGCATATAGGAATATGGACATTTTACATACATAAAGTTTGCAAAAAAGAAATATAGGAAAATGTGGTACTATCATTGTGGAAAGAGGGAGTATATATATGTTTCATACAAAAGCAAAATATAGTGTGAATTATTAAGTAGAGGTACAACTCTTACTTGCCAAGTCTTTATTCTGACTCCATTAGTTGTTCCCTTGAGCATGACCGTCTTAACATCAACATTTGATACATGTTCTTCTAAATTTTCGTGTTTCCCTAAGCTTCCTATACTATAAAAGAAGAACTGAACATAAAACCATATAGAATATTGGATTCACCGTTGACATTTTAGGAATCTCAAGTCATAATATTAACTTATCTATACTAATATAAAAAGGGAAACCAAGTCCATAATAGTCCCGCCTCAAAGTTAATGATTGGGAACAGGTGGATATAACCGTTCCCACCCTTCCAAATTCCAATTATTTGCGCACCAAATATTAGCATTTTATCAATTAGCAGCCACCATTTTGTATATGAGTCGTTACAAACCGTCACTACGTATGGAATATTTGCTTGCCAATTAAGTAACACCGTATGCAAAGCGGTAACAATTATATGGATGGGCAGATGACTTAGTCGGTTACCATAATGCTCAAATACACCGATATCAAATTTCATTTGCAGAAGTCAAGTTCAACCGACCAGATTAACAAGGGTAGAGCACGAAATGATGATTGAGGTAATATTCTAACTATAGCTTTTAATATTTTTTTCATGATGCAAAAGTATAAATAGAAACAAAATCGCTTTGTCAATCTAAAGTCAACATGTGTTTAAAAAAGGTTTTGAAAGGACGAATTTCCCAAACAAATTATAAATCACTTAAGGAAAAGTACAAGTGTAATGTGCGTTTCAGCACTTACGGTAGATTCTAAGAAATTTGAATGTGGCACACAATACCAAACTACATGGCGGCGGTGTTTTAGTTACATTTTTTAATATTTTTACAAAATTGTGAAATTTTTATTTATAATTTTTTTATTAATTTTTTATTATATTCTTTTATTTTTTATTTTTTATGTTCTTATTATTAATTAAAACATTTTAAAAGATGCAAAAGTATATTTGTCCAAACACACATAAGTAGTTGTGTGGTATTTAAAAAATGTAGTCCTATTTGTATATTTTCGTCCTTTTGTATAATTGGGACTAAAAGTAGCCCGAAATTCCACATTACGACTTTACTCTTTAAATTCCCGAAATAGGAGTAATATATGTCTCTTCTTCCATTTTTACCCACATCCTATAATTTCTAATAGATTTATTTGTTGATACAAAAACTTATAGTTTTATCTATAATAAAAACATAAAAGATCGTAAAACTATTTATAAATTAATAAAAAAAATATGGGGAAAAATAAAATAAAAATTTAAAAAAATATTTTAAAAACTTAAAAAATCTAAAATAATAAAGGTAATTGAATATTTTTAAAGGAAAAACTTATCAAAAAGAGAAAATTTTGCAATTTTTAAATGCATTCAGAAAAGAAAAGTGTAACAAACTTTAAAATACGGAGAAAGTATTGATTAAGATATTACACAAATTAGAATTTGACTGAAATATAATATTATCCCGTGCGACGTGTCCCGTGCATTGCACGGGTATAATACTAGTCAATAATAAATAATCAAGGCATTGAGTTCTAACCTGATACCATGTCCTGGTCCGCATATCACACGCAATACTTTTACATTTGTGGAACCATTCACTATTGAGATACAATCATCACCTAGCAAATGCACATTACACATAATTCATCTTTCAACATGATTTGATCAGTTCCAAGAATGAAATCGGTGCAATTAAAAACACCCTAAGACAAGACATTGTTGAATTTTGAATTCTTTATTAACAACTTAGTATAAAATCATTTTGAAGAAATTAAGTCATATAAATAAGTTATAGGGAAAATTAACGACATATGAGTAAAAATGTTTGATAATTCGGAAATATGATTGTTATGCTTTCCTAAAACTAGCGGTACCATTTTGAAAATTTATTGTCATGTTTTGACATTGTCGTAAAATTAACATGACATTATCGGACTTCAAACATGAAAGTCCTATTTTAGAATTTCAAAATGTTTTTACTCATAGATCAATTTTTGTTAAAAATAGGGAAAAGGTGCAAATAGGCCCATGTACTAACCAAAAAAGGTCAAATAAGCCCTTATTTAGGAGGCTCTGTCCGGCCGTCGTCATTTGGGGTGGTTCCCGGTGGAATTTTTTGATGAAATTTTTTGAGCATCTTATTCATCAAGTCTAGTTTACTCATACCAAATTTCAGCTAAAACTTCAGTCGGGAAGGGATTCAAATGAATTCTTGAAGATAACTGCGCTTCTAACTGCACAGTTATTTTCAATAATTCATTTCAATGCCTTCCCGATTGAAGTTTTAACTGAAATTTGGTATGAGTAAACTAGACTTGATGAATAAGATGCTCAAAAAAAATTCATCAAAAAATTCCACCGGGAACCACCTCAAATGGCGATGACCGGACAGAGCCTCCTAAATAAGGGCTTATTTGACCTTTTTTGGTTAGTAGATGGACCTATTTGCACCTTTTCCCTTAAAAATAATAAAAACATTACTAATTTTTTTTTAATATAATGGAGTTTTATTTTAAATTAAAGGAGGAAATAATGGCACACATGTTATCTCCAAGGTTCTATTAGACATAAATGTGAGTCAATTTGATTTTGACCGAAAAGTAACCTTCCCCTTTCTCCCTTTATCTAAATGTCCGCTCAGCTTCTTATCTCCCTTTCTTCTTCATACCTTCTGCGCACGAACCAACCCCATGACAGAGAAGGCTTCGAGGCACATGGAAGGACAAATCCGCCGCCTCGAGCTCTGCTGCCGCCATGGATGAAGCCACCTTCTCGAGCTCTGCTGCTGCCATGGCTGAATCCACCGATTCGAGTTCTGCTGCCGCCATGGACGAAGCCACCGCCTCGAGCTCTGTTGCCACACATGCGGTCGCTTGCCTCCACTCATATCTTCTCCTCCTTTCTTCAATCGGCCGGATCTCTATCAGATATGAAGGATTGTGGCCGCTAGACTTTCAGATCTGAAGGTTGAACATGGTTGAGCGGTGGTGAGGCAGTGGTTGGCCAGTAGAACGGGGCGCGGCCGGAAATTGATCGGAGTGGGGTGGGATAGTGGCAGGGGTAGGGCTGAGGGTGAGATAGTTGTCGTGGAAGGACTGGTGGGTGGGGCAGTGATTGAAGCTGTGGTGTGGGGCCGGTGGTCGCCGGGGGCTGTGACTGGTGGGGTTAGGCGGTGGTCACTGGTGGGTTGTGGTGGGGCTCCGGGGCCTGGTGGGTTGAGGTGAGGCTGGGGAGAGGGCTGGTGGGTTGAGGTGGGGCTGGGGACAGGGCTTGTGGGCTGGGGAGCTGCCGGTTTGGTCACAGTTAAGGCGGCGGCGGTCAACGGTGGTGGTTGCCAGGTGTATGTGTGCGGTGCTAAATGCGAGTGTGGAGTGGGGTGGCGGTTAGTCGGGCGCGGTGTTGCGGGGACAACCCCCATTGTGGCGGCCGGCTAAGGCTGGCCGCTTCACTAAACAAAAAATGATCATAGTGACACAGATGGTGGCTACAGTGACACGGACGGTGGCTACAGTGACACGGGCGGTGACTACAGTGACACGGGCGGTGGCTACAGTGACACGGGCGATGGCTACAGTGACACGAGTGGTGGCTACAATGACACGGGCGGTGGCTACTGTGACACGGGCAGTGGCTATAGTGACACAGACGGTGGCTACAGTGATACAGGCGGTGGCTACAGTGACATGAGCGGCGGATACAATGACATAAAAGCTGGCAGACACTATGTTTTTCTAAATACTAGTAAACTCACCCGTGCGATGCACGGTCGGAGAATTTTTCTTTAAATTTATTTGTGCTCACTAATTCAAATCACACTATCAATTGATGAGATCATCTATCTCCATGAAATATTGATATAAATTCAAGCAATAAACAAAACACACTTATAATATATATTATAGTTAAAAAGAGAGCACTAATTATAAGCATTACCTAAGAGATCAAAAACATCCAACAAATACTTATAAATCATAACATTGTAAATATACATTTCATGTAACCCTAAATATTGTTGAACACTCTTTGAATACAACATTATGAGTCTTGTCAGTGATTCCTTCTTCTTCATCAATACCCGTGCAGTGCACGATTGGTGAAATTTCGCGGGTATAATTAATATTAGCCAACATTTTAATTAAAAAATAAACAAACTTGTAATTTTAATTGAATTGTTTAGAATTATACTCCATACAATAATTAAACATATAAAATATAATCTACTAATGATTACAGAGTAGAACATTATTTTTTATAGCCCACAAAATAGTAAGTAACACGCAATACAAACATCATTTGAAAACAAATAACATTTCATGACAAATTTTATGAAACACTTCTTTGTACATTATGTCTAGCATTAACCCTTGTTAAGAGAGAAATTACACTAAACAGGACAAAAAAAGTTCTATATATTCCAAAATTGGACCTTAAGCATCACAATTTTTTTCAAACTTGAAATTAATTACGCCTATTTTGACAATAAAAAACATGACAATCTTGTTTTGGAATTCTCAAACTTATTTACTCATATTCGAAAATATTCCCTTATTAAAATCCTTCATTCAAGTAATTTTTGACAAACTTTTTTTTCATTTTCAAATCAAAGGTCTATATATATGTGAACTGGAGGTATAAATTTTTATAATTACTACCTCCTTCCCGCTAAGATTGTCCCGTTTTACCTTTTCGGTCCGTCCCACTAAGATTGTCCCATACCAAATTAGGCAAAATTTGTGTGGCTCTAAATTACTCTTACTTTATTCTTACTTTATCAATTCAATATCAACCACATAACTTACTTTTTATTAGTTTGCGTGCCGCTCTCTCTTGTCCCATTGTTAGCGGGACGGAGGGAGTACTACATAATATGGTCACATTACATCTATACGACTTGCAGTATTTAGAAACTGCTGATGTAACCTGGCAAATCGGGGGGTGTGCAGATATGTGAAAATGTGTGATGTCTTTATCTATACGAATTGCATTATTCATACGAATTGCTGATGTATCCTGGCAAATCAGGGGGTGTGCAGATATGTGAAAATGTGTTATGTGTTTATCTGTACGAATTGCATTATTCATACGAATTGCTGATGTAACATAGCAAATCAGGGGGGTGTGCAGATATGTGAAAATGTGTTATGTCTTTATCTATACGAATTGCATTATTTAGACGAATTGCTGATGTAACCTGGCAAATCAGGGGGGTGCAGATATGTGAAAATGTGTTATGTCTTTATCTATACGAATTGCATTATTTAGACGAATTACTGATGTAACCTGGCAAATCAGGGGGTGCAGATATGTGAAAATGTGTTATGTCTTTATCTATACAAATTGCATTATTTAGACGAATTACTGATGTAACCTGGCAAATCAGGGGGGTGCAGATATGTGAAAATGTGTTATGTCTTTATCTATACGAATTAGGGCTGGGAAAAAACTCCCGACTCCCGACTCCCGATCCCGATCCCGACAATCCCGATCCCGAAAATCCCGATCCCGACAATCCCGATCCCGACTAGTCGGGAAATTTTCCCGATCCCGACTAAGTCGGGACGGGACCGGGATTTTTTTAAAAAAAAAGTCGGGATCGGGAAAATCCCGACATCCCGACATTATATATATATATATATATATATAATTATATATATATACATGTATATAATTATATATGAATATATAAAAAATGAATATGTATCTAAATATTTGCACATCTTTTTTAATTACTTATTCCTTACATAGATTAATCTTTTACTACGAGTATCTTACAATATCAAACTTCTAAAACTATTCGGCATTTGTCCGAAAATGAATATTCGGTATCCTAACTAAGTAGAGATTATTCTTGATCCCAACAATCTAAATCACAACATACAATATTACAAATTTTGCGGTTCTGATGAACTCTTTAAAAAATTGTGATCGTGACTAAGATTTCTTTCTTTAGTAGATAATCATAATATGTATTTACATATTATATTCATTGGTCACAAAGTTTCTCAATGAGTCTACTTAGTTTTGAATTTTAAATAATATACATTACATATCCTTCTTTTAGTGTTTTTTATATATTGTTTGAAGTAAGTTTCACTAAGCCTTGATAGCTTATTCAAAAATTATACTATTAATTAATTGAAGTTACACATAAAAATTATTCTAGAAGTATATACTAGTGTGAGTTTGAGATGATAATTATTACAATAACTTTTATAAGTAGATGATGATAAATATGGTATAACAATAAACAAAGAATAATATTGAAACCATTAAATATCAAAGTTAGTGTTTAACTTAAGAAATTACATAATTTTATGTTTGATACTTCATTGTCGGGATTTAGCGGGATTAAGCGGGATTCCCGATCGGGATCCCGACTTAATCGGGATTTTAATGTCGGGATCCCGACTTAATCGGGACGGGATACGGGATCCTCTTTGAGTTTGAATCGGGATCGGGACGGGATCGGGATTTGGGCAATCGGGATCGGGATCATCCCGATCCCACCCCTAATACGAATTGCATTATTTAGACGAATTGCTAATGTAATCTGGCAAATCAGGGGGTGTGCAGATATGTGAAAATGTGTTATGTCTTTATCTATACGAATTGCATTATTAAGACGAATTGCTGATGGTGGCTACAGTGACACGGACGGTGGCTACAGTGACACGGGCGGTGACTACAGTGACACGGGCGGTGGCTACAGTGACACGGGCGATGGCTACAGTGACACGAGTGGTGGCTACAATGACACGGGCGGTGGCTACTGTGACACGGGCAGTGGCTATAGTGACACAGACGGTGGCTACAGTGATACAGGCGGTGGCTACAGTGACATGAGTGGCGGATACAATGACATAAAAGCTGGCAGACACTATGTTTTTCTAAATATATGACCTTCTTGATCACTTTTTTACACTTTTTTACACTTTTTTAAAAGTAATCATTTTTTTTGTAAATGGTTCAAAATTAGTAATATTCAAATAAAAACCAGTTAAAGAGATCGGAAAAATGGTTTACCGGTTCCAATAAATGAATCAGAGATGACCACATCTGTGGTACGTGAGACGTGAACCCCATCGGTGTTGGGGCTATCTCCGGGAGCTTTTATTACTAAATTTGACGCCCTAACCCTTTGACTGTTGGAAAAAACAAGATGCATTCTCTGTGAATTCCTGAACAATAATCCCTTTACGCTGATATTTATGCCATTTTGGAATGTCATTGCCTGGATGAGGGGAAAGAAAAAATCACACAAAAGATGGAGCTAGGCTTATAAATAAAGTGTTCGTATTTAATTTGGCATTTTCCTATTTGGGAATCCAACCCCCATTTTCCTTGTAAATACAGCACTAAAGGAAGCAGGCAGGCCACGAAAACTTACAAATGGTGTGATGCCGCTATCGCAAGTCTGCAAAAAAAAAAAATTGTAAAAATACCTCTGATGGTCAATGAAGTAATTGCCATATACATTACCATTTTACTATGGTCAATGAAGTAAAATGCCGCTACATCCGTTCTTAAATGAATGCAACACTTTGACTTTTACACTATTCACATGTTCTACTTTGACTTTTACGCTATTCACATGTTCTACTTTGACTACATTTTATTTATTAATGTAATAATAATATTTTATGAAAAAATATTGTTAAACTTGTCTCATTGTAAATTTTCATAATCTAATTTTTTTAATTTTTTTAATAATACAAAATCATTTATATTAATGATCAAAATTGTGTCTCGGCAAGTGTGGAATGTTGACCGTTGCATTTATTTAAGAACGGAGGAAGCACTTTTTATACACACCATTCACTACAAAAAAAAAGGATTAACACGGAATTTGGCACGGATTACCGTCTTTTTGTGCCAAATATCTCGATCCAAAGTGTTTTTGGCACGGATTTTGCATAATCCCTGCCAAAATCCCTATCAATCCCGTGTTTTTTTTGTAGTGATTTTGGTGTACACACTTTTACACATGTCTCTGTAGCAGTGTATGATTTTTTTTGGTCTATATAAACATGTGTAAATGTGTACACAACAAATGATCCTATACATTATCACCCACAAGTTACAAGTATTATTTCTCATCCAATAAAAGAAATCGGATGAAGTACCTCTGTTGTTTTGACCTTGCAAGACTCCTTCCACCATATATGGCCATTGCCATCTACGACACCACCGCCTTTAACCGCGAAATTTCTCAAGTTATTGAACTTCAGCCAATGTTCCCTGTCCTTCCCGTAGTCATCTTTGTTCCCAGACGCTTTGATTGTTCCATGTAGCTGCAATGAAATTATGTCGTGCCGCATTTTGTATATTTATTCATTCTTATTAATAAAACATTCGGAAATTTGCAAATTTCGTCCTTTCGACCGTTTTAGATTAGTCTTGCAACTTTAATTACTTGCAAATTTAATCCTATAACTAATTATATTTGCGATTTAAAGACTTTCCTCCTTTTAAGTACACTTACCGGTGATAGTATACCGGAAAGAATGTCGGTGGCGTTGGATTTTTCTGCCGGAAAGTATACTTTCCGGTGGAAAAGTCCTTAAATTGCAAAGATTTAATAGTTACAAGACCAAATTTGCAAGTGATTAAAGTTACAAGACTAATAACGATCACACCCGAAAGTTACGAGCCAAAAATTGCAAATCTCCCTAAAACATACTCCGTACATACTACGTAGTATTTTATTTCATTAGTGTTAAATAAAATAAAGGGAAAAGTACAGAAAACGTACATGTGGTTTGAGCCATTTTCAGACAGGGGCATGTGTTTCATTTTCTAACAAAGTGGGGCATGTGTTTCAATTCCGTTATCATAGCAGGGGCATGGCGTCTAACGCCGTTAGAAAAATTAACTCCGATTTTAAAAAGTCTCTGAAAAATTGAAAAAAAATACTGGGAGGTGCGCCTCGTCAAGGAGATCAACAAACTATCTTTCTCTTTGGATTTTTCGGCTCTATTTGGATTATTTTTTAAAAACAAATTCGCTAATATCAATTTTCTGGTAGACTTTCTGGAGATATGGTGGCTCGAAACAAAAAAATAAAGATAGTTTGTTGATCTCCTTGACGAGGCGCACCTCCCAGTATTTTTCTTTTAATTTTTCATAGACTTTTTAAAATCGGGGTTAAGTTTTCTAACGGCGTTAGATGTCATGCCCCTGCTATGAAAACAGAATTGAAACACATGCCCCACTTTGTTAGAAAATGAAACACATGCCTCTATCTGAAAATGGTCCAAACCACAAGTACGTTTTATATGTACTTTTCCCTAAAATAAATCACTTGATTTAGATCGCTGCTCATTTAGTTTATGGTCAACCATTCAAAACTTGAAGTTAATTTTATTAATTAATTACACTAAATTAAGATAAAATTACTCAAACTAGGACTAAAACGTACGTTGTCATCTTCAAAAAACAGGATCAATGGATCATATATGTTTTGTTTTCCTTAACTAGGACTAACATAATGTTTCTACCCCCAATATAATTAATCAACATAATTAATTGTTCTCTTAGAGTTTTCTTGCGTAACAAATGCCAACCCGTTGGTGGCGGCAAACTGCGATTCGACGATGACACATAACTTCGGCGATAGTGACATTCTGGCAGTAGACGGCGGCGACGTCAGTGGTAAATTTTCCGGCTGCCGGGGGGTGGCGATAGCCCAATGATCGATATAGTGGCAATTCAACACTGCTACAACCCTATAATGGTATTTTGTCTAATCACAAATAATAAGGCATGTTTATGACATTTTAAACATTGGAAAATGGGCAAAATTTTGTGTATTTGGGATATTCCCCTCTAAATCAATTGACCTCATTAAAATGTTGTAACTTCTCATCTAGGTACGGAGTATATAATAAATAGATAAAATGAATGTGTAGAATGAAATTACTCACTTTCAGATTAAGGTTGGGTTGACATGGACCGTTGAAGTGCATTGGACTAAGCAAATACGTTCTCTTACGAGGTATCACAAGGATGCCTCCCCTTGATTTGCAGAACTTGTTCCAAGCTCTTTTAAAGGCCTGTAATATTATTAATTAATTTCCAAAAGATAAATGTTTATTTTGTTAGACAATAATTTGTATGGAGTATACATTGATAATTGTGGAACACACCCAAATTAAACACCCCAAAAAATAGGAAAAATTGACAAGAATAATCCCACCTTTCACTGGTCTTTTCATAATAATCTCACCTATAAATAATCCCAACACATGGGCGGAGCTAGGGGAGGGCCATCCCTGGCCCAACCCAAATTTTAAAAATGCTTGTATTTTTAGTGTAAAAAATTCCGTGTAAAAAAATTTCAAAAAATATTCTTTGTATCGGCCCAGTCCGGCCTAGTGCTCTAGCTATGCCCCTGTCCCAACATAATCCCACCTTTGCACCCCATCTTCTTTCATTGGACCCTGACCATGTTTTTTACTCTTTCTTTGAAAATTATACAAATAATCTCACCTTTCACTTTTTAATTATATCCTTATAAATGTGAGATTATTTATACAAGATTTTTAAAAAAGGTAAAAAACTTGGTCAGGGTCCAATGAAAGAAGATGAGGTGTAAAGGTGAGATTATTTTGGGATTATTTAAAGGTGGAATTATTATAAGAAAACCAGTGAAAGGTGGGATTATTCTTGTCAAATTTTCCCAAAAAATATACACTTACAGTACAAGAAAACAATGATATTGGCACGGCGTTGGCACGGATTGACCGAGTTTGGCATGAATCAAAACATGTTTTTGGAACGGTGCCGTGCCAAATAGCTTGTTCCAAAATGGCATCGGCACATAATTTGACACGGATTTTAAGTATTCGTGCCAAACCTGTGTTAAATACCCTATGATTTTTGACAAATCCGTGCCAAATCCTTACCAATTTCGCTGTTTTTTGGCTCCCAGGCCGGTCCACCCATTTAACACACGTTTGATAAATTAAACGAGTAATATACATATTTTTGAAATTGTTGGACAAATCACAAATTTTATTACTCCGTATAATGTTCTCATTCCTACTCATCCTCAACGTAATTTAAAAACAAAATTTATCATATTAAATTTTAAAAGAATACATAAGAAATTAAGAATGACATTTTTAACGGATAAATTGATCGAGAAGTATACCTTAGAATCATCCGTGATTCCATCACCCTTCGCCCCAAAAGCATCTACATTGAACACATGTTTATGTTTTCTAACCGATATATGATTTGGTTTGTGACAATTATGGTGCTTTTTGTGGCGGTGGTGATGGTGATGGTGATGATGATGGAGGCTCAAAATCCCAGTCTCGAAAAGGCCAGTATTGTTGATGCTCGAGGCAATGAAAAACGAAAGAGTTGAGATTACAATCACTAATATATTTTTTATAGTAACAAGCATTTTAGCTATTAGAACTAGACATATAAAAATTTATTGAGATGATATATTACGGAGTAATGTTTAATACAATACACATATTACTAACCAAAGAATGAGCGTGAAAGGTTTGTCTCAACATGATGCTTTATATACTGAGAATAGCAAAAGGTAGAGAAGTTAATTGCTTCAAATAAACGAAAGAAAGGCCCGTAATCTAGAGGTGAAAGAAGAAACAACACAAGATATGACCAGCTGGGGTTTCAATAATAAATGTAACAAAACGTTTTCTTTTCCCCTTTTCGGAAGGGGGTGGGGGGTTGTAGGGGAGGTTTGAGGTTTAAGGATTAACAGATCGAGAAAGAGGTTAGTCCAAATAATAATAATCATGATATATCTAAAGATTAGAATCAAGAAATGGGTAGATGAAATTGAGAAATATTGAGTGTAGTAATTAATTATAAAATTTATTTTAACTTGTAGCACGTTTTGACTAATAAGACAGGTATAGTCGTGTTTCTGGCATCTTTTTCAACTAAATATAATTAGGAAACTGTTTGATAGATGAAGCAACATTAACACCATCCTTATTACAACAATTCGTTAGTTACTTTACCTTTTGTTAGTTTACCAACATAGACGCATGTAATATTTTATGACCAAACAATAATTCAACAACAACTAATGTTGAAAATGCGTGTAATAAATATGAGACGCACATACCATATTTCTTCAACTAATGTTGAGTGTTGACAATGCGTGTATTGGAAATATGACTACAAAATTCTATTTGGGAAATAAAATATCAATAATCCTGTGAGGAGTCTGGGGTAAAGTTGACTAAAACTCCCTCTAGCTACGTAGTTTCAAACGCGAGACCTCCTAAATGAAAGAGTGAGTTGATGACCGGCTGAATTAGATCGCTTCCTCAAAAGTACTTGTTTCATGTTAAGGAGATATATTTGTATGATTTATATTGATCCATACTTTCTAAATGACCCTCAATAACATAATCTCACTACTAACGTAGAGCTTATTTGGTGACCATGTTTTTCGACTTATCGGCCAACTTTTTCCTCAAACACGTAACTTTCGATTTCGCCGAATTGTGTAATAATAAGAAAAAGTAAGGTTGAAGTTATTTTCTGACTGTATTGGCTGAATTTATTGTAGAGAATCATTTTAACTGCTTTTTCATATAAGTTTTTTATTAATAAAATACTCCGTATATTTTATTTTATTTTATTTTACATAATTCAGCAGAATCAACCAATCCAGCTACTTCGATCAACCAATCCAGCATAATTTCTCCTTTCCAAAACGATTTTAAACTCAAAATTTCTTGGTAATATATGAACGTGGTTTTAAATTTATTACACCAATGTCGTACTAATTAATTACATAACAATATGATTCATGAAAATAACAAGGCGACTTGCCATAAAAACCTTCTTTGTGTTATAAAAGTTAGATCTTCACATTTTAGTTGAAGTTTGTCTAGTGCAAATGATAAATATCGTGATTGAGCAATGATGATTGTTGAGTTTAATCCAACACGATATAGTAAATATATGTATGAATGTGTATGAACAAGCTATTTTTACGTGGAAACCCGGAAAGGGAGAAAACCACGGGACTTTTTAGGCTAATGTCCAAGCTCTCTCATTCTCATTAAGACTCTCCTCACCATTACATAGTACAATATTCAAGCTCCCATTAATGGAGTTCTAAGCTATTCTAGAGAGGAGGTTGAAAGAAGGGATCCATAATATGGAGGGAAACTCCCATATTTATAGAGAATAGGGGAAGGGGATGCCCTCCACCCTAATGGGCCGCATGGGCCGGAGTGGGCCCAAATGGCTAAAGTGGGCCGGATGGGCCGAAATGGGCCTAGCTGCTCGGGCCCCGTACTACGTAAAGCCTTGGACTCCTGAACAGTAATAGGTCAGGATAATATATCCCAACACAAGTCCCCCAGTTTCTTGAGTAGTGAGCTCGCGAATCTGTTCGAGAAAATATACTCTGCCTGCGCTCTTCCTCTGTCTTGCTGGAAACTGTGTCTTCACATAATCATAATATATGAGTGAGTGTCTGCACTCCTGAACGTAATCTACCAGTGAGGCACCCCCCTTCCCGACAGGGTCGGGCGAAGGGTGCTCCTCCACGGGCACACTCCGCCTGAATGCATCAGGCAGGAGTAAAGCACTCTGACTCGAGCTTTCCAATCGGAGAAGCTTAGAGGTCCATGCATCTATAAACCGACGTCGCGGTATGTCAAAACATGATGCACGTGTGTATGTATGAATGTATGAGGTATGATGCATGAATGCATGAATGCATGTAATGTATGGGTGCAATGTATGAGAGAAGGAATGTGAGATGTGATAGAAAGCGGTGGCTCTCATCGATAACCCGGGCATGTCAGCGCCGAGAGGCAGACGTGCTGCATAAGATGGTCGTCGCCATCCTAGAAGGGATGGGAAATCCGGAGATGAACCCGACACAATGGCACGGCGGGGCCGATTGTGTTGCATAAGAGACGTTCGTCGCAATCCTGAAAGGGATGGGCGAGCCGAACATGAGCCAGACACGATGGCACAGAGGCGCTGATCGTGCTGCATACGAGACGTTCGTCGCGACCCTGGAAGGGATGGACGAGCTGAACGTGAGCTGGGTACGATGGCGCTGAGGGGCCGATCGTACTGCATAAGACGGTCGTCGCCATCCTGGAGGGAATGGGCAAGCCGAACCGTGAATCTGGACATTATGGCGCTGAGGGGCCGATCGTGATGCATAAGACGCTCGTCGCCACCCTGGAAGGGATGAACGAGCCGAACGTGAGCTAGGTACGATGGCGCTGAGGGGCCGATCGTACTGCATAAGACGGTCGTCGCCATCCTAGAGGGAATGGGCGAGCCGAACCGTGAGTCTGGACACGATGGCGCTGAGGGGGCCGATCGTGATGCATAAGACGTTCGTCGCCACCCTGGAAGGGATGGACGAGCTGAACGTGAGCTGGGTACGATGGCGCTGAGGGGCCGATCGTACTGCATAAGACGGTCGTCGCCATCCTGGAGGGAATGGGCGAGCCGAACCGTGAGTCTGGACACGATGGCGCTGAGGGGCCGATCGTACTGCATAAGACGGTCGTCGCCATCCTGGAGGGAATGGGCGAGCCGAACCGTGAGTCTGGACACGATGGCGCTGAGGGGCCGATCGTGATGCATAAGACGTTCGTCGCCACCCTGGAAGGGATGGACGAGCTGAACGTGAGCTGGGTACGATGGCGCTGATTGGCCGATCATACTGCATAAGACGGTCGTCGCCATTCTGGAGGGAATGGGCGAGCCAAACCGTGAGTCTGGACATGATGGCGCTGAGGGGCCGATCGTGATGCATAAGACGTTCGTCGCCACCCTGGAAGGGATGGACGAGCTGAACGTGAGTTGGGTACGATGGCGCTGAGGGGCCGATCGTACTGCATAAGACGGTCGTCGCCATCCTGGAGGGAATGGGCGAGCCGAACCGTGAGTCTGGACACGATGGCGCTGAGGGGCCGATCGTGATGCATAAGACGTTCATCGCCACCCTGGAAGGGATGGACGAGCTGAACGTGAGCTGGGTACGATGGCGCTGAGGGGCCGATCGTACTGCATAAGACGGTCGTCGCCATCCTGGAGGGAATGGGCGAGCCGAACCGTGAGTCTGGTCACGATGGCGCTGAGGGGCCGATCGTGATGCATAAGACGTTCGTCGCCATCCTGGAGGGAATGGACGAGCTGAACGTGAGTCGGGCACGATGGCGCTGAGGGGCCGATCGTGATACAGAAAAATAGTGATGATCATCTCATGGCCCTCGGCCTGTCGGTGAGTGGTAATCGTCTCACGGCCCTCGGCCGTGCTGGTGATGTGTCAACTCTCTCTCCTGAGTGGCTGTGAGAAGCCGATCGTCTGCCAGGACTCCATCCGGGAAGGAACGGCGAGCCTAAAATAAATCTGGGCGATGTCCCTCCTACCTGATCTGGGGAGCTAATCGTCGTTCGTCTACCGTATCCGTGGTCCTATGTACGGACCGCTAAGCGGTGTACACTCGGTACGCAACAGACTCCGGTGGAGAACTGGTCCTTCGTGTCTGATCCATGGAGCTGGTCTTCGTTCGTCTACCGTATCCGTGGTCCTATGTATGGACCGCTAAGCGGTGTACACTCGGCACGCAACAGACTCCGGTAAAGAACTGGTTCTTCATGTCGGATCCATGGAGCTGGTCTTCGTTCGTCTACCGTATCCGTGGTCCTATGTATGGACCGCTAAGCGGTGTACACTCGGCACGCAACAGACTCCGGTAAAGAACTGGTTCTTCGTTCTTCCCAAGTCTCGTGAGTACTGGTCTCCTGGTTTCGCAGGAGACGTTCGTCATCCCAACTATGAGAAGAAACAGGTTTATCCACGTCGGGATTCCCTATCTCTGTTCGTCCCCAGTCGTGAGTTACTAGTCTTCTGGCTTCGCATAAGACGTTCGTCATCCGTCCATAAGGGGGAGGAACCAGTACACCCTGTCAGGGTTCCCGTTTCTTCGTTCGTCCCTGTCGTGATCCTACTAACCTTCTTCCCTCGAAGAAGACGTTCGGTCATTCACCGATCGCAAGGAGGAACTGGTTTACCCTATCGCGGGTTCCCTGCTTCGTCGTCCCATGCTCGTGGCCCTACTAGCCTTCTGCTTTGGCAGAAGGTGTTCATCGATCCACGGGAAATGGGAGGAACTGGTTTATCCTGCCGAGGTTCCCTTTGGTACGTCTAGCCTCCCCCACGTTCCTACTAACCTCCGCGTCGGGAGACGTTCGTCATACGCGGCAAAGGAAGATCAGGCATACCTCGTCAAGACTCCCTCTCTCATAGGAGCTTCTCTCTCCCCTTCTCCCCATCTTTTCTCTCTCTTTTTTTTTTGAGGGAGGAAAATACGTTCGTCGGTTTCCAAGAATGCCCACAAGTGATGTCACACGTAATGGTGGTGGGATACCAAAATGAAGCGGATGCCGAGGCGATGGAAATGCTGGTCGTCATGCGAAGGCGATGGTCACCCTCCTGGAGGGGAGGGGTGAGCCCGATCGCTAACTCAAGAAGGTCAGCATCGGGAGCCGATATATAATGATCATAATGTCGCTGAGCAGTCGGTCCTGATAAGGAGATGACAATAGTATCCGATCATGTCGATATATCCGAGCAACGGCTCTCATCCACGCAGTGCGGGGATGAAACTGGTCTTCAAATATGATGGTGGCACCGTACCAGGAGGTCGGTGGCCACGTATGACGTCGGCGCTAGGGCCGATCCAAAGAGCGATAACCAGCGGTCCTCATCCGCGAGGAGCAGGGACGAGGCCGATCTTCAAGTATGGAAAACACGCCGAGCCGGGGGGCCGGTCGTGATATAACGATGCCGGCAATGAGAGGCCGACCTGAAATCCAAGCAACGGTCCTCATCCGCGCAGTGCGGGGACGAGGCCGGTCTTCAAATATGGAAAGCACGCCGAGCCGGGAGGCCGGTCGTGATATATAATGGTGTCGGCGCCGAGGGGCCGACAGAGAGAATCAAGCAACGGCTCCCATCCGCGAGGAGCGTGGACGAGGCCGGTCTTCAGGTATGATAATCATGTCGTGCTGAGGGGCCGGTCATGGTATGATGACGTCAGACGGCCCTCGGCCGTGACGATCTTTTTTAATCCCTCGGCCTCTGAATGACGGGTGATCGTCTCACGGTTCTCTGTCATGGCATTCGCCTCTAGACCCTCGGCCTCTAGGTGTTCTTCCTAGGCCATCGGTCTCTGGGGTGGAGATGCTCGTCCCACGGTTCTCAACCGTGGTGGTCTCCTCTAGGCCCTCAACCTCTGGGTGGAGATGCTGGTCCATCGGCTCTCAGCCGTGATGGTCTCCACTTTAGCTGGCCCTGAACGTCTTCAAGATTCGGGCCGAGCGTCTTTTAATCATTTCGCTCGAGCGCGTCGAGTGGCTTCAGCTGCGCAATAAGCATGATAACGGGCCGCACGGCCCCGACAATAAATATGCACACATAACCATCTGCATGGCTTTCTCTCTAACACCCACGATTACCGGCCTATGGGTCATCGTGACCCTCGGCCCGGCTCATCGTGCGGGTTTAATGGACGTAACAGCTCGCGGCGGGGCCAATTAGCAGCCCGCCGAACGTCACATAGAGATATTCATCGGTCTGTGAGTTTTCAAACTCAGACCCAAGTTGGTCGCATTGCCCTCGGAAAAACGAGGTTGAGTGCTTTGGTGCCCTTGGGCCCCACAGGCCGCGTCTGGCAATAGTCACTTCGCGCCTAATGGCATAGATGATATTAGGGTACGATCGTCGATCAGGCACGTAGTGCCGTGCGGACTAACGTGCAACCCTCAAATTAAAATGCGTCGTCGGGGCATCGCCCTTTTGGAGATGCTCAGACCGCTTAATCAAGCTGATCGAGAGTGGGCCATCGGGGCCACAAGAAATTAAATACTTAATAAAATGTTAGCTGAGCTAACCATCACTTGAGCCTCGCTCAGCATTATTTAATTCGAGACACTTTATCCCTAATAAATAATAGTGATATAACACGCAATAACAATGATATTATCCTATCAAAGGCCATTCAGGTATACTCCGTTCGCTAATTAAAGCCGATCAGGAGCGGGCCCACAGGCTCACAACAACTAGTCATCAATTTTAATGACGATGGAATTAATTACCACTAGAGCTTTACTCATCTGAGCTTTGCTCGACATTATTTAATTTCGGGGTATTTAACCCCTGTTAAGTAATGGTGACGGTCAGCAAAAGCATCTATGATCGTATTATGGAGCATTTTAATTAAAGAGCAGGAGTAAGAGCACTTAGCTCTAAGAAAAGATGTTCGGCCAGTTGGAATTTTTGGACTTAATCTGGTTCCTTTAGCAAAGTTGACTTAGTCAAGATGCTCCCAAACGTATCCATCCGCCACCATTCATCCTACTCACGTAGCCTTATGAGGACCAAGGCTTTTGAGCGATATCAGTACTCTGTATCATCCGAGAAGCCAGCTGGAACACCGGCTCACCAACCCAAGGCCATCCGGCAGAGGTACAGACTTCGCCGCGGAGCAAGGATGGACGCCCGGCCAGGTTTCGGTGGGAGACCTGCTACTTAAGCTTCGAAAACACCTTCCCCGACCTCCAAACCTCCATTAATGGCGGAACCAGTGAAAACTCCCAACCTGTGGGTCCTCAGGTCGCGTCGGCAGAACAGGATGGCCGATGGAAGCTCGAGCCGCAACCGACCAGGTGGGGGAGTGACCTGCGGTTGGTCGGTGATGACAATGACGGTGTGGTAATGCTCCGGCGGCGGCGATGCTCCGGCGGCAACAAACCAGAGCAAGATCCAGAGTGCCATATCCTCCAGGATCCTCCTTTTTCCTCTTCCTTCTTTTCTGGAATCCAGAACCTCCAACATCAAATTTATCCTTCTTCCCAGATCCAGAACTTCTCAGAATCATTTTTCCAGAATTTTTCTTTCTTTTTTGCTGGAATCAATCCACTTCGTATGAATTTTTTGTAGATAAAAACTCAAGAACCGCGAATCTTTTTGGACAGATTCCCACAGACGGCGCCAGTGTTGAGTTTAATCCAACACGATATAGTAAATATATGTATGAATGTGTATGAACAAGCTATTTTTACGTGGAAACCCGGAAAGGGAGAAAACCACGGGACTTTTTAGGCTAATGTCCAAGTCCTCTCATTCTCATTAAGACTCTCCTCACCATTACATAGTACAATATTCAATCTCTCATTAATGGAGTTCTAAGCTATTCTAGAGAGGAAGTAGAAAGAAGGGATCCATAATATGGAGTGAAACTCCCATATTTATAGAGAATAGGGGAAGGGGATGCCCTCCACCCTAATGGGCCGCATGGGCCGGAGTGGGCCCAAATGGCTAAAGTGGGTCGGATGGGCCGAAATGGGCTTAGGATAATATATCCCAATAATGATTAACAGCTCACGCCTCATCTAATGATTACTACTCAATTTTTTCAAAAAAAAAAAATGATTACTACTCAATTAGCTGGGTTAATCAATATTAGGCCGATTCATAACTTGGAATTGGTTAACTAGCGCTATATAAACAAGAATAGATGTAGACAATGTTCATGTTTCATTTTCTTCTCCTTGAGTAGTTTTTTTGTTTTAACATGATGGAGATCCCAATTATCATGTCGTTGATGCCCCATAATTTATGTGGTCGTTCGCCTCTTAATTCGATAGATAAGTTAGATTAGGATGTCCTAAATTTTCAGTCTTGTCAGAAGCAAGCATCATACAATCTCGATGTTTCTTTTTCCATTTCTAAACGTACTCAAATCTCTTTCATTTTGAATTGAATTGAAATGCCTTAATTGTGTTTTTAGATGAAATTGAACCTGTTCTTTTTTAATTGAGGAGCTGCAATGAGTGTAATTCATGTAAAAAGTTAAAAGAGTGTCTCCAATTGAATCGTAATTCACTCACAAACCTATAACTTTATTAATTAGTATACTCCGAAAGTCCGAATTATAGAAGACATATTCCATTTCTTTTTAATGGAGGAGCTGCAATGAGTGTAATTCACGTCAAAAATTTAAAAAAATCTCTCTAAAATTAACACCTATTTAGCCGAAGAGCATGTGACAGAATAACGTTGGCACGGAGTTAGCCAATCTCTGCCAAAGATCCGTGCTAAATTTGTGTCAAATTCGTGCCACTTCTGGATAAAACGATGATTATTAAAAAAAATAGACAAATCGTGTTATTTTATGTTTTTGATCAATAATTTTCAATCATTCAGGTCATGTATTAGCAATATTTATATTTCAGATCATGAACTAATAATTAAACCATCTTTAAAATTCTAAAGGCCTTTTCCCCCTATGTTTAGAAAACCGACCTGGACCAAATCCCGGTTTGGTTAGTAAAACCCCGAAAGTGGTAAAAAACGGGGAAAAACACGGCCGAGCCGGAAAAACCCGGTCTGGACCCAGACCCGAAAAATACGACAATTCCGGAAAACCCCGATTTTGGTTGTTTCCCCCCATAAATGTATCTTTTTTGTTAATTTTAAATCATTTTTAATTAATCAACATCCGTTTTCAATCACCTAAAAAGAAAAAAAATGCAATATATTTATATACTAATTATTTTTAAAAAAATAAAAATCATGTCAAATTATATAATAAATATACAATAAAAATAACAAATATGGAGTATCATTATATATTTTAATAAGATCATAATGATATTTTGGAATATTATGAGACTATTTTAAGCGTTTAACTTTTAAATGTTTAGTAAATATTATCATTAGTTGATTATTATGAAATAACTATCTTTTATTTTAATTTTGTATACAATTATATGTTTATTATTATTATATATGGTTGACCGGTTTTATGGCGTTGACCGGGCTGACCCGACCAGATCCGGGTTGACCCGTGACTCGATCACGTGTCTGGTCACTTCCCAATCCGGTTTCTTAAACATAGCCTTTTCCATGAATATGACTAAATTAAATACAAAAGACAAAAATATAACTTAATTTAAATTTTTTCAAAAAAGTGACATATTCAGTGATTAGTTCTCAGTGACTCATCATCCACCAGTGATTTGTCAGTCTGAAATACGTAATGCATTATAATAACTTTTGTCTAGTTATTCATACACAGTGACTAGATATGTTTTTTTCAAAAACATAAGTAGTGATATTTTTGTTGAGCGAAACTTTATTTGTAATACGAATGTCATTTTTTCAATTCTAAATTGATAGAATTGCTAAAGTAAAAGTCATATTAGCGTGTAGGAATATGCATAGGTAGTTTTTTTGGGTGACAATCAGGAGGAAAAAGGGTCAAATAAAGATGTGTAGTATATTAAAACCGTCCCATAAAGACTTTTACTCAAAAAAAGTGTCACAAAAATACATATACTTTTAAAAAAGAAGCATATGAGTTCAAATGACCTGCAAATAACCTTTCAACCCCGGAAGCGTATACTGTACAACCGGCTGTACGGTGTCACCCGTACAGCCGGTGGCATTTTTGTAATTTTGGTGAAAAGCACAGCTTCTCTTGAATGAGCACTAACGTAATTTTGTTGAGTATCGAGACTGTAGTTTTGAGTATTAGAAGCCTAAAAATGAGCATTAGCGTTATCTCCTTCATATCTTCTAATTCCCTTTCTTTTTATTATATTTTCGTTTATAAAACTCTAAAATTAGTTTTGTAATCATTTCCAATTAATTTTGTTATGTAAATCTAATATAGTATGATACGTTTGAAATGTGCAACATTTTAAAATGATCATAAAGATGAGTATCAAATAATTCAAAAGCTCATTTGTGTATGCTCATTCATTTTGGCCTTTATACTCATCTGAGTTTAACATAATGTAGTATGATACGTTTGAAATGTGCAACCTAACACTTTAAAATGAGCACAAAGAAGTACCAAATGAGCATACATAACTTACAAAATGAGCATCAAAATATTCAAAAGCTCATTTTTGTATGCTCATTCATTTTCGGTTTTATACTCATTTGAGTTTAACATAAAACTCATTTTTAATATGCTCATTCATTTTCGGTTTTATACTCATTTGAGTTGACATAAAACTCATTTTTAATATGCTCAATATTCATTTGTGTATGTTCATTCCTTTTAAGCTTATACTCATTATATTTGAGTTTAATATAAACTCATTCCAGATTCGTTAGCCAAGAAGTATGAACACAGTCTCCTAAATCGTGGTTCAATCTGTGGTCTCGTATTCTTCTTCTCGCAGCACTGGCCAACAAAGAAATCCCCAAGAGTCGTTGTCTCTTGCGCAGCAGGAGAGTTTGAGGATAAGAGAACAGCGAGAGGAACAGTCTGCCTTGTGCGCGAGATCAGATCGAAGAAATCAATTGAGATTGAAGAAGCAGGGGTGAAGTCCTGTGCGAGAAGTGCAGTCTTGTCCGAGAAGCACAGAAGCAGGGGCGAAGATCGGAGAAGCCGTTGCTAGGGCGAGAAGTGCAGAAGCGTAAAAAAGGCCGGTTGTACCGTGCACACGGTACAGGAGGCTGGAGGATGTAATTTACCTTCCAACCCCAGTCACCGCTTATGTGGCCCTGTTTATCCATGTCGCCGCCACATGGATCGTTAGTTAAGACATTTCTTTCAAAAATATGGATCCCTCCTATGCTTCAATAGGGTTTTACTAAAAGATAAATTTCACAATTGGGGGCGACATGTGGCTACTAGCCACATTATACCCAGTGGTGGACCAAGAAGTTTTACGAAGCGGGAGCACTCCCACATAGATGAAAATGGGTCGGGTCGGGTCGAATTGAGTGTATCATTGGTCTTTTTTGACAAGTGCATTCAAATTGATATTTTTAACGGGAAATAGATTACTCAATGCCGACGTCAAGCAATGAACATATATGGATTATAAGTGTAAAACTCATTAAGACAATTCTGAACAATAATATTTGACTTTTTGAAAGAAAGACATAATTTTGCGGATTAGAAATGACTCATCTTGGCACCGTTTTTCCGTTTTTAGATTAGAATTTTAGCTATTTTTCCTACTATAAAATGATCAAAATTTCATTTTTGAAGTAGGATCATATCGTTGTTATACATTGTGCCACAAAATTTGTTGGTACTTGTGTGAAATATAATACTACGTACTATCGTGTTAAAAATGAAGTATAAGTCAAGTTTAATTAGGATTTCATCATTTAATACAACTTTATTTAATAATATGATTCTATAAATCTACCTTTTACGAGTATCATATTATAGAAAAAATTAAAAGGGTCTATCGGTTTGAAACTAATATATCGTGAATTGACACATTTTTCATGTTTGGACTTTTATTCAAGACAAAAGTCTTCAATCTATTAAGTTTATCCCGCATATTAGAACCCTTGTCATATCTTTGAACTTTAACTTTGGACCGACATCATTCACACCAAGTAAAACATCATCAATGCCACTTTTCAAAGATAGTGTATGTAACCATATAACAACATATCAAACTATTAGAATTTGCTCCATCACAACTTCAGAGTTGTTTATATTTCTTGCTACAATTATTATATGTCTTGGACGGAGTCCTATATATCTTATAGTTTTTTGAAATAATGCCAATATGATTGAAATAAAGATAGTGGACAAAAATACGGAGTATGACTACGTGATTCCACTATATTTGAGTCAAATGAAGTGGTGGCCCCAATAGAGAGGTACATATATAGGAGAATAACCAGGAAAAATAATTAAACAGATGCCAAACAGCTACCAACTACATATAAGAACAACATATTGGCTTTTATCGGGGGAAATGCGTGATGTACACAAAAGTTGTACACTTTTTTTGTACACTTGTCTGTCCCCCGCAGACAAATTTTCAATCCATAGAAAACTCTACAGAGATGAAATCTGAAGAGCATGAGAGAATTGTGAAATATGATATCATCTGCTACAGGGCACCAGCCACGAGGGAATTGACATAAACCAAGGTTTGGATGAATCTTTTAGCTCTGGAAAAACTATTAGAATTGGAAGTAAACTTTTCTCTTTTGTAATCAAGGATTCATCTGCTCTACAAATTACTGAAACAAAAAGACATCTTTACTCTTCAATTCATTTCAACCTTGAAGCAACTATATGGATTAGGACTCTTTATTGTCAGCTGGAACAAGAAATTGGTCATTTACTCAATTTGAGAAATCTAGATTGATAAGTCCGTATTTCGACACACATTTGATGCGTGTTGGGATTGACTTTTGATGGTTTTCCTAACTTTAA